ACCCAATGAGTATAGCCAGTTCTGATCGATTTGTCTAGCTAAATGAACTTGGGTAGATTTTAATGATTTATTTTGTATTTGAAACTATTATATCTATTTTTTTCTTTTTCAAACACGCAATTTAATCGATTTGATTGGTTGGACCGTTTTTTATTGGATCAAAACCTTCACCAGTTTGGTTCCTGGTTTGATCTTGATAACTCCAAACTTTATTTTATAACCACTATTCACTATTCTCTCTAATTTTTTTAGCTTAGAGTATTTTCGGCCATCCATCATTATTCATCTTAATTTTTCCTATACAAGATGTGAACTATTTTTTAAGTTGCAAAATCATATATCCAAAGCAATGTTTTTTAAGTTACAAAATCATATATTTAAAGCATAAATGTCTCCAAATCATAGCTATAAAGTTTGGACCGGACCAGACCAACACGCCCTAGTCAAATTGCCAACCTTGTTGTTGGTTTATTTAGTCCAAATTAAAAATCGGGTTTGGTTGAGAATTGAGCAAAACCAATAATTGATTAGTTATGGCCGGTTTGATTATCTCGTTTAACTAAATATAATGACAAAATAAAGTTGGACAGCCGCTTTTTCCCAATATATTTTAAGATATTATTCATATTTTTCTTTATATTAATCCAACTAGTTTGAATCGGTGCTTGGACTGGGTCTAACTAGATCAAACCCCTCGGTCGGCCAATCCCAATAACACTAATCTGGAGGGACTAACACGTGTAAACACAAAGCTTGAATCAATCTCGGCATGGATTTTTTAAAAGGGTTGTGCATTTGAATAAGACCTCATCTCCACACCATGGGATATCAAGTTTCTCATATGGAGGTGAATATCCCTTTATGTAACGGTGGTAGATGTTATCCTGGGGAACAATGAATGCGACCTGCAAAAAGGCGTAAAAGATTTGGGGGAAAAGGTGATTTTAAAAGAGATTTTCATGGCAAGAGCCTTCTGTATGGGCAGGATTGTGCAAAAATTTAAACCTTGGACCTAGTTTGGAAAATGAGAAAAAAATTGCATACAATCAATTCACTTACATTTTTTAATGCAAGAAAGTCACAATCATCATTGATTGTTAGATTTAAAATTAGGTGGTTGAAAATATGTTATTATTTAGATATAAATATTTAAATAAAATTTATCGAATGTTGTGATATATTTTCATTGATTTGATTTCACATTTAATGGTTAAAAATGATTATGACATCGATATACAAAAAATAAATAGTTTTATAATATATATTCCCAATTCAAAATACAACCAAAACATATATTTGAAAACCTCTTATATACTCAAAGAGGCTCAATAACCATCCAAACGATAAGGTTCCAAGTTCCACTTCGTACCCCATAACCCAACAAATCCCCATTGAATTACCTGAAAATGAAAATAAAAGAAAAAACAAGAAAAAAACAATAGCCCCTATCTTCATTTAAAATATTCAGAAACATAAGAAACAAAAAATAAGAAACCCTAACCACTTAAGGCTAATACGGTGGAATGGTTCCTAAATTAGAAGAAGATGAGAACGAGCGAGTTTTCAATAGTCGCATAGCATGAACGATTGAGATAGCTTTGATGCTCATGTTAGGGTCGCTTTTCTCTCTCTTGTGTACCTTTGAGAAAGTCATTAGCAAGAGAGTATGATTAATTGGGAAAGCAAAACCTTATATTCCTTTTAACTTTTATTTGTTTATTTGTTTTACTATTGAAATTGAAAAAAAAAATGTATGATTTCTACAAGGACTAAATGATTTCTACAAGGACTAGGTTTATGAGAAAAAGTAAAGCCTCATTTCAAAACTTCATTCGAAACAACTTTGGGCATGAGAAATCCCAATGATGGATCTAAAATCTATTTTTACTTCTGATTAAGAAATTTATGGTTCAAAAAATAATGGATCTATGAATATTTAAAAATGGATGGTCAAAATAATGTATTAGCCTGTACACTTTTTTTTTAGGGCTTCAAATATTTTTTTTCTTATTCATAATAGTCAAGATCGAGATGATCAAGTTGAAGATTTTTTTACTCCAAAACTATAAAATTTTATGAGATTCGAGGTGCAACTTTACTTCGTTTGTTTTTTCTTCTTCGTAACGCCTGGCTACCAAAAAAAAAAAGGGGAAAAAATTTACCCAAAGTATGCCTCATTTGTAAAGCGGATGAGGAAACAAGTACTCATCTGTTATTCACAATTCCTTTACGGTGTGAATTTGGTTTTGGCTTTTTGATTTGGTTGAGATTTATTTGGTACTTCCTTCTTTTGTGATGGGCTTAGTTTTTCAATTATCCATTCCTCATTTACTTAAGATGGGGAAAATTAATTGGCAGATAGCAAAGGGTGTTATTATTTGGGACATGTAGAAAGATAGAAATAAACGGAACTTTGAGGGGAAATTATTGCCTCTTTGAGTTTTATTTAACAATATAAAACTCTCTATTTATGCTTCGATTTCTGCTAATAAGGAGGGAAGGAATATTGGCAAAGTAGATATAATGGTTAATCTTAGAAGTTTTTTTTTGCTTGGGAGGCCTAATACAAGATCGAGAAGTTTTTAGATGCCGTCTATTGGTAAGTGCTTTAAGTTAAACTTTGACGGCAATTCTTTGAGGAATCCAGGTGTTACAGGAATTGGTGGGGTGTTGCGTGATTCTTTAGCCAACATTATGTTTTCTTTTACTGACCCGATTGGAGTTAAACAACCCATTATGCAGAGCTAAGTACTTTGTTGTGTGGGGTTAAAATTATGGCTAATAAACTTCGAGGTAGATCTTGTATTTGTGAAGTGAATTCCTTAAAAATGTTGTTAAATGGTGTAATAAGGGACAAGTAATCCCTTGAGTAATAAAATCTTTGAATCCTTGAAGAAAAAAAAAAAAACCTAATATAAGGAGCGGTACCAATTAATTAATTTCCTATCCATTGAAATTCAAAAAGCCCGCGGCAATGAGCAGAGGGAGGTAGTTGGTAACTTTGTATGATTCAGGGCAGTGCCCTACATCTTTGTCAAATACTTTCATGTGCTCTTCGTGCCGTCCACGTGTAAATAGAATATACTGTCAAATTTACACGTGGCAAAATATAAGTGAGCCAAGTGTCCTTTGTTTTGACTTGTAAGAATCTTCGCCGCTAAGTAAACCGCTAAGCTGAAGTTCCATGCCTGTGTCCAGTTTGACTCGCTACGATTTTCGCGGCTAAGTAAACTGCTGAACTGAAATTCGCTGCTAACCGTTATAACGTCAAACAAAGTTGGCGTAAACAGAAAAGGAAAGAAGGAGAAAAGTTGCATTGGTATTCTTAAGCAAAACGACACGGACAATATTTTCCACCAAGTGAGAGGGCCTATTAAACAACGGGGTAGTTTGGGTGAGTCATTAAGTAGATTAGGTGGATCGGTAACGGCCGTTATATTGTGATGACGGGGTGTAACTAGAAAAGGGGAATAAATCAGGCTAAACCAGGGAAAACGGGCATGCTAGAAGATTTCCTACTCCAGCGGAAGTCTACTATGTATTTATTCCCTCGAGCAAAACTTACCTATGGATATCTTTTTGATCTCAAATTTTTGGAATATGTTCTCTAGATTCCAATAAACGATCTTAAATAAATAAAAATTTAACTCTCACTCCTTACGTGCCTAAAAAAAATAAGTATATATCATCCCAAGATTTGACCAATTTTTGGAGGGAATGATGATATTTATGGACTCAAAATCTATTTTTAAAAAGAGAATCATCTAGTTATAATTAGATGGATGCTGAAACCAAAAAGAAAATAAATAAAGGGAAAACTATAAAAAATGACAATGTATATTTTGAGACTGTTTATCCTTGTTACAAGAAAGTCACAAATAACCCTAGCATCCGATTTCAAATTAGATAGCTTGGGACGTGTCGTAGAGTTTAAGAAATTCTTTTGTGATCTTTGAACTTAGTTAAGGACACACTCACAACCACCTGATTTGAAATTCAATGGACAAGAGTAATAATACGTCTTTATACAAGCAAATGGTCTCTTTATATACTTTTTCATAAAAAACATAATACAAAACAACATAATTTTTGAAAAAACAGTATAATTATTTTGCATGGAAGACGAGTTTCAAATTAATAACTGTTAATTTTATTTTAAAAAAATAAAAAAATATACAATAAGATTACTTATCTTTGGTACAAAATGGTCGCAATTAATCTTAACATCAGAAGTGAAATTGAGTGTCCCAAAAATGTAATCGTGGTTATTTTCAATATATTTTGGAAACATTGGCGTTTTTTTTTTTTTTTATCGTTTTCAAAGTTTACCATGATACTCGTTTATCTTTACAAAGTTTGATATTTCATGATACAACATCCGTTAATTTTACATTACAGTTTTTTTTTTTTATAATTACAGACGGTCTTAGTTATCAGCTATTTAATAATAATTTCGCAGTTTTCTTAATTGAGATAGCAACCAAATAAAAATACCGTTATCTTAATTGAGATAACAACCAAATAAAAACACCGTTATCTTAATTGAGATAACAACCAAATAAAAACACCGTTATCTTAATTGAGATAACAACCAAATAAAAACAAGAGAATTTTCTATGTATGTCTGGCGTGAGATGGTAATATGACGTGGCAATTGTTATTTTGTGCATAAATTACAAAAATACCCTTCATCGGATAATGATTCAGTGACTCTGGCTAATAGAAAATGTTTTTTTCGATATATTCGATGGTGATTATAGGTCTTTAGGTCATTTGGAAATAGAGCGCATTAATAATTGTACACCGTATGTAACAGTATGTCCACATGATATGCATTGCATGTATAATTTTAGCTAGTAAGGGTATTTTGGGTATTTGTCTGTATCTTCCGCGGCGTTCACACGGTCCAATCGAACGGTCTACAATGGCTTGTTGATATCGGGTAGCAATCAAAGCCGTCACTACAAGACCTTTAAGTTGACGTGGCCGCACGAGCACCGTCTCTTTTGGCTTGACCTTTTAGCTTTTGCTCCTCTTCCTCCTCTTTGCTCTTGCTCTTCCGGTTATCATTTATATTTTTTCCCTCGTCTGAACCCTAAAAGTAGTTGGGCGTTTGATTCAAAAGCGGTTTTTCGCTGTAAAAGCGGTTTTTAGGGTCTCATTCTTGTGTGGCTTTGAACTGATTCTTCTCCAAAAGCGGTTTTCTCTGCTTCGTTTGAGAAGTTTTGCATTCTCGCTGCAAGAGTGGTTTTGAGTGTGATTTTCAGCGGTTTTCGCCTGATCCCTTCTCCGAGAGTGTTTTGTGTGTTGTGTATTGGCGGTTTTTTTGCAAGAGTAAGGCGGCTTCGGCTGAAATAGCAGCTTGCCCTTTTGCGCTGATTTAGATACTGCTTTATAGATATTTGGTACAGCGGTTTTCGGAGGGGAAAGAGGGTTTTGGTTCTGATAGCGGCTGGGTTTAGTGTGGCCTTATACGGTTTTATGCCGGATCTGAACTGGTTTTGAGGGGTTCGCCGTGTTATTGCAGTGTTAGCTTGTGGTCATACAATTGATTTGGCCGTGAGTTTGAAGCGGTTTTGCATATGGGAAAGTGATTTTGGCTCATGAAAGTTGTTTTGTATATAGTGGTTCTTGAGAGTTAACCTGTGATCCAAAGCGGCTCTGTTCGTTGTCTCTCTGGTTCCTCTTGTGATCAATTCTTTTTGGAGGTTTTTAATCTTTAAAATCGCTTTCACCTTAATTGGTGGTTTTCCTGGCAATCAAGGTTTTCGAAGGCGGATTTTTTGAGGTGGATTAAGGGCCTGGTATCCAAAGAGGTTTCGAGGGAAGAGAATTTTGATTGTCTGGTATGAACAGATCCTTTTAAGCGGTTTTTTTTTTAAAGGCTCTTTTCTGTTGATTAAATGGAGTCGGTTTTTCCTAAACTATTTTTGGTTGTGTATGAAACAGCCATTATTTTAGTGGAGCTGGAGAAGGACAAGCGAGGGTTTTTCTTTGGAGATTTTTGGTGTGATTTAATGGCGACTGAAGTAAAACCAGAGAAACGTATCCTTTCTTACGCTTGGGTTTGGTTAAGTATTTGAAATTGGTTTTTTTTTTTGGTGTATTTCTACTGAATTTTTTATTGTTTGCTTGTATGATTTTCCGTTCTAGCTATTTATGTACTTCTAATTATTCTTTCCTTGTTTAGATCATGCTTTAGTATTTATAGAATTGGCACCAATTTTGGAGTTTTAACTTAATAGACATGGATAAATGATAGATTTGGTCTTGCTCCCCTCCAACTGTTTGCTTGTTTAAGAAGAAAATGGGCTACTCGCTTTTCCTAGTTAATATTGAACTTTTTCTTTGTCATGTTTGGCAATTTATTGTTTTGATTTGTTCCTTGACTTAGTAATGATTTTTCTCTTATTTATTTATTTGAGTAATACGCTGGATCCATGTGTGAAATTGTTTTTGGTAAATGGATCTGATTGTTGATTTGGATAAATTTATTTTGCATTTTTCATTGGCATATATAGTGTAGCTTATTGTAGTTTTTTTTTTTTGCTTTTTGGAACCAACCCAGGTTACGATTTGTTTCAATGAATTGAGAAATGGATGATTTGAATCTCTGATCTGTTTGTAGTTGGTATTCTTATTTGCCCTAAAGCACTGAAGTGCTCTCATTGTTTAATTTTATATTTACACTACGATTCATTTTTTAGCGTTTTCAAAATTTTGGTTTTTTATTTTATTTTAGTTTTTCACGTGTGTAACCGGTGCAAATTTATTTTATTTTTTTCATCTTGATTTGTTTATTTTTTAATCATGATGGTAGCAGTTCTGTTTCTTTTAGCCGGAGTTCTGTTTTGTTTGATTAGCTTTCTTTTTAGGAGATGTAGGGAGAGACTTTATAAATGGATTTAAGATTGCATTGAAGTGTTCCCTTTATTATAATGAAAATTGAGCCCACAGAAGGGCCTGTCATTTACTTTTGTTCTTTTTTTTTTCTCTATTTCTACTGGTAGCTGAAGAGCTCTTTCTTTCTTGTTGATTTAGAATTTTTATTATTTTATTCATTTTCATTTCTGTCTATTCATGTAGTGTAATTTGTCCTTTTGGGCTTGGTGTGTGAACTTAACCCATTGTTCTTAGCTTTGGACGTAATGATCCAGAAGTTGAAAGTGGATACCCCTAATCATGCCGATGCCAATGCGGTGCGTAGTTTATCATCTGATCTTTTAGTACTCTTTCTTATTTTTTGTTGTTGAATTGCATTCTTTTTATGGTCATTGTCCTGATCTGCAATGTGTGTTTCTTTGATAATTTTTCTTCTCTTTCTTTTATTAGAGAGAGAGAGAGAGAGATAGCTAAATTCTGCTAGTATTTCCATTGTTGTGCTATGTGTATGCCAGACTTCTGCAAAGGATGGGAGCCCATCCGATGCAACATCTTGTATATCTTCATCAGGCGATGCCACTAGTAGCATGAAAGGTAGTGACATTGACCAGGATTCATTAGCTGCAGAGCAGGGTTCATACTACCCAATGAACAACTATTATGGCTACTACTATCCAGGTGTTTAATAATGAAAGCTTGAATTTTCCTTGTAATTATGTGAATATATCCAATCAAATGCCATGGTTTGTTGACTTCTGGGACTATATATCAGGTTATGATGGTTCTTTTGGCGAATGGGATGATCAGGGCTACTACCTTGGGGGTGAAGGGCTGGAGCTCCAATACCCAGTAAGTTTGACGATTCTTTTACAGTATTGGGATGTTCGTTACCCCTTATGATTCACGCCTGACCTACTTGAAATTCTGGTTTTGTAAGATTGGGAAAATTCTGGTTTTGTAGGATTGTATTAGTTGTATTGAACGTTCTCAATTCTCATCCTCATGGAAAGCCACACGAGGTTTTGAGTTTCATTGGTATTGGGTGTTTTAATACTGCTCCTTTTGATTCTTATCATAAATAGCAGTGCCTATGATTTTGATGCTTGCTTTCCTTATTCTCATTTTTTTTTTTGGTGATAAAATTCTTTTCTTATTCTTGTTCTAGAGCTCATTATTTATAATTCATTATATAGTTGAGATAAGGCTCGGATGATGATGATTCATAATTTATTCTACTGGATCTTTTTGTTTACTCCGCATAAATGTTCATTTTCATTTTCAGGGAATTCAAGCTGACAATGGATCACTCATGTACTACATGCCAGGGTATGGCTTTAATCAACCTGGGTACAATCCATATGGTCCATACATGCCTGGAGCTGTGATAGGCATTGATGGGCAGCCTTTGGGTCAACAGCTGTTTTATGCAGGTTCTATGTGTCCTCAACCCCTCAGTTCTCCAGGATATTTCCCACCGCCTCTTCCGTATGGATCGGAAGTTTTACCAGTGTATCCATGGGATTCCCCCCCTTTATTTGGCGATGGGGTGACCCCAACTGGCTTTAGTGGAGGTCCAACAGCCCCGAGTCCCAAGACCAATTTCTCTGCCAATCCAAACCCACCTGTGGCTCCTCAGTCAAAATCCAACCAACCTGCAAAGTTGGGTACACCATTGGAGAAAGGCGTAACAGCTGCAATTGATGCGCAATCAGGCCAAGGAAATATTGTTACCCAGTCTCTTAAACATGGGAATAAGGTAGCTAGCTTTAGAATCTCCAAATGTGTTTTTTCTCTCTCAATCGATTTGGTACTTAATTGGGCAGGTGAGCTTTAGTCTTGGTTACACTAAATAATCAAACGCTATTCTTTCACATGGATTAATTTTTTTGGTGGATCAGTGGCTCGGCTTCGCCGTGGCCTTTGGGTTAATGCCCGTATGGGCATAAGTACTGGAATTTATATATTCTTTCTCTTACTTTTTTGAGTTTGGTAAGAAATTGTGTAAAATTGACAATTAATCTGACCATGTTGTGGAAATTTCTGCCTTGCATTGTGGAGAACTTCTGCTTTTCTCATTTTTAAAGTTTGAGTCAGATTTGATATGAAGTAATGATCTTTTGGCTCTTTTACCTTCTCCACATTTTGAAATTTCCTAAAGCAAAGTATTTTGGTGAAGATCTATTTGGAATCATGATATTGGGAGTTATATTTCTACGCCAACTGAAAATTTGTGTAATGTAAACTTTGAAACTTTAAAATATGAAAATTGATGCATGGTTTAATTTGATAGATGATTTGTTTGCTTATTAATATTAGTATTGCTTGCTCTTAGGGTGCTCAGCAAAACTCTGCTTTTCAAGCGACGGCTGTCCTGGCAAAGGGTTATTTCCCCCTACCCAAGTTTCCTGCTTATTCTAACAATGGGAAAGGCGGTGTACTCTATCCAAACAGTCCCATGAATTTTAAACAGAATGGGCGGAACTGGGCGAGTGCAGAAAGATTTAAATCGAGGGGTAAAGGCAATGGTTTCAGTGACTTCGATGTGTTGAATGAGCAAAATCGTGGCCCTCGAACAAAGGGTATCAGTGAGAAGAGTGAGAGTGATGGCTTGACTGGTGCAGTCAAAAGAGACCAATACAATCTCTCGGATTTCCTGACCAAGTATGATAGTGCTTTCTTCTTTGTGATAAAATCCTATAGTGAGGATGATGTTCATAAGAGTATCAAATACAATGTTTGGGCGAGCACTCCAAATGGGAACAAGAGGCTCGACAATGCATACCAAGATGCACAACAGAAGGCCCTAGAAAAGGGCAGCAAGTGCCCTGTGTTCCTTTTCTTTTCGGTACGGTGTGCTCTCTTCTCTGTGATCTGTCTTTGTTATGGTTTGTCGAGCTACATGGGTGATTATGTGTGCAACTTTTTGTGGGTTTTTGATGAAAAATATTGTGCAATTTATAATATTTATGAAAAAAGGACTTTGTTAAACAATTTTTGGTGGATTGGCTAGTGCTTAAATGATATAAAAAACTTAGAGTGAACGATGTACTTTAAACGGTACAATTTGATACTTCAGAGATGGATGAGTTATACTTGTCGCATGGATAGGAAGAAATATGAGTTTGGTTATGCATATATATGTGCAGCATACTTTAATAGTAATGCCACTTTTGAAAGCAAGTACCTTTCAATTTGAGTTATTTTCTTTCCTACTTGAGTATGGCCCCCTCTCTACAAACTCTATTTTATTTTTTTCCTTGAGAGTTAATAAAATGTATATATTTATTCAAACCATCAAAATGGTAAAAGGTGACTGTTTAGGCAGTGAATGCGATAAAAGTTCTTATTCTTATGAGGGTTGATTTGCAAAAGGGAAATCTGATGATTTCTGATGTTTTTTCAGGTTAATGCCAGTGGTCAGTTCTGTGGAGTAGCAGAGATGATGGGAAGGGTGGACTTCAACCAGAACATGGACTTTTGGCAGCAGGACAAATGGAATGGTTTTTTCCCAGTAAAATGGCACGTTATAAAAGACGTCCCAAACCCTCAGTTTCGACATATCATACTAGAGAACAATGACAACAAGCCTGTGACCAATAGTAGGGATACACAAGAGGTATAAATTCTCATGTTTGTATTTTTGGTACTGGACCTTATGCTGATGTATTTTATTAGGAGGATTTCATGATCATAATTCAGAGTTCAATTGCCCAGAACTGAACTTGTCGGTTTTTATCATTAAGACCTCAATGCAAAAAGTGTTTTCGAAGTTTTCTTGTGTAATCGGTTATAGGACTGATGGCTTTGTATCCTCAGGATATAAGCGGGATAATATGTCCTATACTTTGTATATTTGTATTGCTCACTTTTTAGCTTTTGTATATTTTCAGGTGAAATTTCCTCAAGGAATTGAAATGCTGAACATTTTTAAGAATTATTCATCAAAGACGTCCATATTGGATGACTTTGCATTCTATGAAAACCGGCAGAAGGCGATGGAGGATCAGAAGATTCGGCTGCCTACTCATCAATTGGAGCAAATGCAGGTCAGCTTAAAGTTTTTGCATTGTTTCATTCCTTTTCTTGTTGACTTCAATAACTTCTTAAGTGGGATGAAAAAAAAATATATTGAGGATGGAGCATATGCCCTATGGTTTCTGTAAGCGGTCTAAAATGCGCAATGGATTTGTCTTGAATACGCATTACCCTTTCCAAGATTTAGATGTGAAGCTGGTCCTTGTATTTATTTTATTTTATTTAAATGTCCTGCTCTGTTTTTCTGTGAGAAAGCTTTAACAATTTGGGCTGAAACCACGATTTATTACTTGCAGTTCACTCCTGTCCATCTGAATCATTTTATATTTGAGATGTATCATGCATTTGTTTGAATTTTTAAGCTCTGATAATTTAGACCGACATACATATTTCTTAAGTTCTCAAATGAGCGACTTTTCTAGTACATATTTCTTAGCATCATTGTTGGTTAAGTTGTTAGTCTGTGTTTTGATCGTTTATTGAATCACAGATGAAACCTGATGATGGGGCAGCACAGTTGAAGGGTGCCGACCCAAAACCTGATACCCAGTCGATGGACCCTGTTCCTGTTAATGAGATTAAGGAAAACAAGGTGGAAAATGAGGCCGAGGAGGGCGAAACAAGGGAATGAGGCCAAGCATCCAACTCATTCTCTCTCTAAATCAGCAGACGGATTTTCTGGTTCGCTGTTTGGTGGGGGTGCGCCTGTACACCCAGGAAGGGCTCGCTTGGAGTTTCGTGGGCTTTTTTTGGGGATTTTGGGCTTCTTGATAAAGAATTCGATGCAATAATTTTGAAAAGGGTGGACAAAAATATCATGAAGAAGGCGACCAGAGTGTACCATAGCGCCGATTAGTGCCTTTTTAAAAGCGAGGCAGTCGTCGGGCATCTTGTCAACCGGTTTTCTTCATCTCTTTTTTTTTTTTTGGGGGTTTTCCTGTTTTTGGGGTTCTTGGTTTTGCTTTCTTCTGTGGGGCCTTTTATTTCTTCGTTTTTTGGGATCCTCTGTTTTTTCTTTTTTCGACTAATTTGCCTGTTAAGGCTTTTCATAGTGGATGTGTGTGTGTGGTTTTAAAGAAGGTGTTGGAAGGAAAAGAAGGGGAAGTGAAGGAAATCCATTTATGGATAGGTTTCTCCTTTTTTCCGTATCTCCAAAATGTAATTGGGTTTTTAATTTATGTGAAAGGAAAAGAGGAAGGAATGAGAATTGGCTGTTGGAAACCCCATTTGATGTTTGGGTTTTTTTTTTTTTTGTAAACCTTTTCCTTCAATTTATGGGGCTTCTTGGTTTTCTATTTATCATATGGATTCATGGTGGGTTCGACTAGGTAGGCCATTGGTTGCCATCATCTCATTTGGGGTGGTGGCCAATGTGTGGCTGAGGTTAATTGATTTTTGGGTGGAAGCATGTGGAGTAATCTGGATGAGAGCTATGACAGTGGCCTGGCCATGGGTCTCAATCGCCATAGGACTTTTTTCTGTAGATTAATCAGTTGATTAACTTGTGTTGCATTTGGATGTTTAATTCACAAAACAAAAAATTTCAAGTTACCAAGGAATATCTCATGGATTTAAAATTTTGAAACTATTAAAATTTTAAAATTTGAAAACTATATTATTATGTATCAAGTTGATAATATGTAAGTTACCGTTGTCAGATTATAGAACTAAAGGGAATAATGATTTATTATAGGAGAATTCAAGGGTTGAATGTTGATTTCATCCTGAAAAAAATTTATTTTTTTAAAAAAATTTTATGGATAAAAAAAAAACAAATTTTCTTTTAATTGATGGTCACCACCTTGAAATGCATAATATCTAAATGATTGTAGGTTTTTAAATAGTGCATCGTAAAAAAATGCATCATAAGGGTTTATCATTTCCAAAATCTCCAACCATAACAAATATTGTAGCCAAAATTTGCTATATAAAATTACCTTGTATGCAATATTTTGGGTCGGGATTGCTTTTAAAATTACCTTGTATGCAATATTTTGGGTCGGGATTGCTTTCAGGCCGGGGCCGGGGCTGGGCTGGCTGGTCTACTTAAATGATTTTGGTCCAGTTGGGCCTACTTACATGATTTTGGGCCGGGTATCTTAAATGGACTAAACTACATCAGATTTTTGTAGCTTATCTGAAGTGTGGTGTGGTCATTCTCTTCTAATCTCAAGGCCATTGTTGTTACTGTGGGGGTGATCGGTTTTCTCCTTTTCTCTTTATTACATGCGTTGTACGTGATATTTAATATTTATTACTTAAACAAAATTATCATTGAAAAATATTTTCAATAAAATATGTTTTTAGAGGTTATTGATTTTATCTTCACAATTGAATATTTTTATTAAATAATTATATACTTGCAAAATCATGAAAGAAATAAATAATTCAACTGTACTATTTGTGATAAAATAAGATTTGCGGGATACCGAAAATTTGTAAATGCTATTTAAATTGGAGGAATATTTGAAATTGAATATTGTATCAAATAATTATAATTGATATATTATTTTAACAATATTTAATTAACACGTTTCAATTTGGCACAAATTCGAACATAAATAACTAAATAATTCAAATTGCATAAATAAAACTGATAGAGAATTTTTTTTTCAATTTTGTTGTGGATGTTAGAAGTTTCAAAAAGGAAAAAAAGAGCAAAAAATACAAAAAAATGAAAAATAAAATTCTTACATTTTTTTTAAAAATAAATTTTTTTGTAAAAAATATATTACCAATATGTTATAATTTGCATTATGTTGTCTTATATTATTTTATATTTTTTTTACAAAACATAATATATTTAACAATATGTTATAATTTGAATTATGTTGTCTTATATTATTTTTAGATATTTATATAATAAGTAACAATTATTTATTTTAGGTAACAAATCTTTTTTGACAAGAAATAATCTATTTACTAATCTATCATAATTTACATTATATTAATTAAAAAATACTTTAAAAGATGATTTATTCATATTAATATTATTCTTTTAAATAATATGTTATAATTTACCAAAATAAAGGATAAATTTACTAATATATTATATTTCAATGCTAAATTAGTGAATATATTTATAAAAGAAAATAAATCAAAGTTTGGATCTCATGCCCAATTGTGATGCCTTATGCCATTGAAAATTTATTATTTGTAACTCCTATTTCCTTTGTTATTTGATGGGAATCAAGGAAAATAAAAATGTCAACATACTTAGCACACACATAGAGGTATAGTTTTAGGAAAATAAAGTTTAGAGATATACTTATAGTATGCATCTACGCTCATAAAGAATTTCTATTTTATCAACAATTTATCAGTTTGCCATTTTTCAACCATTCCAACTCATGTGAATGATTGGGGAAAATTTTATTCATTACAATTTTGTGGAAAAATTATTGCAAGGAAATATGAAATTGAAAAAAAAATACTAATAAGCTTACCTCTAGCTGCCTATGTAAATTATGTGATTTGCCTATGTACAGACAAACATCAAAGTTAACAGTAGTAGACCTAAAATTGAAAAATAATTTATTACTACTTAATTAACCTAAAACTGAAAATAATATATTTTTAGAATAAGTTAGAAGCATAAATTGTTAGGGTTGGGCATTAGAGAGAGAGAGAGAGAGAGAGAGAGATCACATTGGCATATACAAAAAAAATCCTATAAAGTCAACCAAAATATTAAGCAACCTAATCAGAATTTATTTCTAATTATATTATTCGTATGTCAAACCTAAAAATAACAAAAATTGTCAACATAGACTGTTTTAACATCACATGATGTTAAAGAAAAAATTTCAACCTAAATTCTAGGTGAATTCACTTAGCAACCTAGTTTGAAAGAGATGGATTCTCTTTTTGCTAAACCCTAAAAACTGTTAGCCATAAATCTGTAATTGAGAGATGGGAAAGAGACGAAATCAATAACCTAAACCTTTAGGTTCTTTCACAATATAGGAGAGAGGGAAACTTTTCTTTAGAGAGAGAGAAATTCTCAGTGGGATATGAGAGAGAAATATGGAATTAGGTATAAGAGATAAGGTGTAGAGATTTTTCGGTAGAGATAACCATTTTTTATAGGCTTTGAACAAGATTATGGTGTTTTAGGGTTTTCCTTAGCCTGCCTCTTCTTGTGATATTGAACATGGACTGTCGATCGATGATGACTTGTGTAGTGATAGATCTGAGTCATCCATTCCATAGATGGGCTATTAATGAAAGGTGAATGAAACCTTATCCCCATGTCCTAAACCATTTTTCTTAAATTAACTTTAATTAAATATTGTGCATTCCATAAAATAGCACATCTCTACACATATTTTCTATAAAATCTATCAAAGATATATCATCAATATCTATTTTCATATTAAGTCAATATATGGTCAATACATACTCAATCCATAATTTGACCACATATCACAATTTAAAATTATCAAAACATAAGGTCACATGGACTACAAAACAAAACATTCCATAAAATAGAAAGTAGTAAGAGGTGGGGTGTGCACCCATGGGAGGCACATGTGGGCCCCACCTTCTAGAAATATGGTGGGCCCATGTGCACAATGGGCATCCATGTTTTTTTTATGCATTTAATATTAACAAAATAATTTATAGTTAAAACATTGTAAAATCAATATAGTTAATTTATAAATAAAAAAATTATAAATAAAATATCCAAATGTTTATAAAAATTCAAATAGTGATTTTAAAATAATCATTATTATAAAACAAACACAATTAAATTAATTTTATAGGAAATAGATCTAAAGGGTTTAGGAATTAAATCAACAATCATGGGGCACACTATCTTCAACTGTGGACTACGGACCACACTTGCTATTAGACCGACCCAGTGTTTCTCATGACCCATAGTCCAAGCAGAGACTCATTAGTGGGTCACCAAAGTCTGGCCAATGAGCCAAGGGGTCGCAATCCCAGCCTGTGGATTACGGGTCCTCCCCGAGAGACGAGTTCTGGTCACTATGACCTGATGCAGCTATATCTCTATGATGCATAGAGGGATCTCTCGCACATGCATACGTTTCACCCTAAAATGTGGATTTCTGGCTTTCTCGAACGATTTATCGATATGCATGCCGTGTAATGGCTCATGAATGAAGTTTTGACCCCGTCTCTGCAGGCCACCATCACACACAAGAGTCACATAGTCCCTCGACTCACTTATCCGAGCATGTTCTCCGACCTCATCAAGAGCTAACCCATGAGTCCTCGGTTTGTTCTTCATGCATAGGTAACATGTGTTTTCCCCAACCGACTGGCCTAGATCGTCAAACACAGTCAGATATCTTCAAATATCGTTTGCATGGTATGGTCCACGAGGGACCACACTCCCACTGAGTTCATGTTCCACTATATCATTTCATTTTATAAGCACTCATAATTACCTTTAAAGGCCACATAAAAACAACAATGATGTTGATAAGGATAGAGTTCTAATGAAAATGTGGTTGGGGTTGTGGTGGTCGCACCACATGTACCCTAGCTAAGGTCTAGACTTCCATTTTCACTTAAAGCTTTCAAAACTATCAATATTTAAAAAAACGAGTAGAGGCTCGTCATCTCCACTGAATTACAAAAAAAAAAGAAAAAAGAAAAATAAAAGTTAGAGTTCTAATGAAAATTCCATCTACAGTATTGAGTGCTATTACAAAATGAATTTCACTTATTTATAGGGTTGAAGCCTTAAATTGTAGAATCAAGGTGCAGCTCAAAAATATATTGAAAAAAGCTGTTTTGACGTTGGAAGACCATCTAATTGATCATCTTGAAGTCGAGATGTATGGTATGGAAAAAATAAAGATTTCAAGTCTAAAAAATAGTACATAATTCAACTGGACCGTATATTTTCAAGATTTTCATGCATTTATAGATTCGCTTAATTTGAACCACATTTGTAGTTTAAAATTTTATAATTAGAGACAAAAATAAATTCTTGGGGCATCATAAGTACTTTCAACTCCAAAATTACACCTTATGACAAAGTTTGGAGGTGCACTTTAATTTGATTGTTTAAGGTTGCAATCTTATGCAAACCATTCCCATATAAAAACCATGCTTTTGACTTAGTTTGCAATAGCAATCAAACATTAGCAATTGATCAACAAAGGAAAATGAATTTAAACTTGACCATATATGTTTTATTTGCAAAATCAACAACAAAAGGAATAATCATTTATGAGCCCATCATTTATCT